GATGTGGTAGCAAATGAGCTGCGCGGGTAAGTGGAGGGATGTTTGAGTGTAAACGCAGATTGTTTCATTTGCTATTTCAATCGTGAGATCGCTAATATTCATCTTCAACATCTCTTGCTTTTCATTTTATTTTCTAGTATACATTTATTGGTCTTTCCAAATCAATAATCACATGTATAAATATAATCAACTACTAACTTTACGAAAATCCATGTCAATACATTAATCTAATTTTTCTTAATTTTTTTACACATCATTTTTTTAGAGGAAACAATATCACTGTTCACCGTATATATACTTTGGTAATGTTGACATCTAATTGCATATTTTTGTTCAGAAAGGGACACGACTTTCGCATATGCAATCCAAATTCATCACTCAACAAATCCCAATCATGAAGGAGTGCATGCACACATGTATGTCGATTTCAGAAATATACATGCTGGTGCGGTCCTCTTTGAATCATGTTGGATAAGATTAAAACATATCTTTAGGTAATTATTTAAAGGATTAAGTATGAACCCATAACACTGTATATGTTTTCGGAGTTGGAAATTTGAAAACTTTTAAAAAATATCAAATGGTTATGTTTTCGACAAAGGAATAATGTAGAATGCTATTTTAAAAGGAGTTCCATTTTTTAATATACTGTCAAAATAACAAACATACTAAAAAATATGTCTAAATACCAAACCAGATACAAAAATCTGTCAAAATAGTAAAGTTTAAAATGATAATCTATCAATACCATGTAGGAAGCATATACCGAGTCTTGTAGTTTTATATTTATTCTGTTTATAGCTTTTATTAGTACATTATATTGATCAATACTCAGATTGCATTGTCCACTTCCCTAATAACTCTCTTATATTTTTGTGGATATGGAAGATGATCCGTGAAGGTTAGTTAAACACTTGTATATTTGTTTCACATTTTTTAAAGGGGTGTATAAAGTTGGAATGCATAAGTAAAATACTATATTATAGGGATCAATTCAAAAGATCATGTAAAAGGTTATATGTGCTCTGTCAGAGGTATTTTTAATGTATTTTAAATTATCGTTACTTGTAATAATTGGCCTATTTTCTTATTGTTGGTTGTAACTTCTGTAAAACAATAAAACTATGATCGATAGATTCTATAGTAAATAACATGAAATAAAGGACAAGAAAAATGATCAAAAGAGTGTCGAATGTTTTAATTATAATAAACCTAGAAGACTTCAATGAGAACTTTTCTGTAAGAGCTAAGTATGGTGACAAAGTGTTAACCTACTAGATACATGCATGCAATATATATATAGGCTAGACGGTAAGCATAAACACAAGAATGGACAGGCCCATATTGGATAAATAAACCTATACAAAAAGCATTTGACATAATACTAATAAGCCCTACAATCTCCTCCTTTGGGTTAAATAAGGAAATAGTTCTTCTATTGTTGTTGTCTTTTCTGTACCTTGAACAATTTCAGCATTAAATTCAGAAGGGTGGTTTGGACAATAATGTACCACTTGATCATATTTGAGAAGCATTTCTGATCACCAACATCATTCACTTTACAAGCTTCGGTTAATTCTGAAACATCCCAAAAATACAGTCCAAAAATTTCATTTTAAATCATTAATAAAACCATAGTAAACCAAACATCATATAAAAAAACCATAAGTTGTGTATCTCAAAATACCATAACATCAATCAAAGTATATATCAGTGTAAATATCCCAGGCTAAATAAATGGTGAGTGCACTGCAATCATCCCGAGCTCTTCCCCTGCCACCAAAAGTACCTAAAACCAAAACTAAAAATTATAAGTACGAAGCTTAGTGAGTCTCCCCAAACTACCACATACCATACACATAATCATGCTACTGAGAGATATGGGCCCCGCCCACACTCTAGGAGATACGGGCCCCGCCCACACTCTGCTCACTAGGAGATACGAGCCCTACCCACACTCTGCTGACTAGCAGATACGGACCTCGCTCACACTCCATTGACTAGGAGACACGAACCCTGACCACACTCTGTTGACTATGAGATACGAGCCCCACCCACACTCCGCTGACTATGAGATAAGGGCCCCGCCCACACTCACATACATAAATTAACACATACAAATATCACACAGACAACAAGTACACAATCTACCAACATAGCAATAACCATTGTCAGGTATTGATGAGATACGGGCCCCACCCACAGTCGAATAATAATGAGATACATGCCCCACACACACTCACATACATAAAAAAACATCAAAGTATCATACAGACAACAAGTATAGCAATCCAATAATCTGACTGATATCTATACTCTAATAATAATGAGATATGAGCCCCGCCCACACTGTGTTCCTATGAAGAACATATAAACTAAACGGGCCGACATTGGTGCCTTAGACCTGTTCATATTAAAGGAAACCTACCTCGCACTGCAGATGATCCCTGGCTACTGGCTGCTGGCTGACAGATTCCTGAACTGTCAACATCAAAGTAAACCCAATTAACAATTGGGTCCCACTGCACAACCATAAATCCATACTTGGGGGTAAAAGACTACTTCACCCCTAACTTAGCTTGATTCAAGCCCAAGGCCCATTCCAAAGGCCCCAAAATCAAACAATGAACCAAAGCTCAACATATGGCCCAATTTTCCAAATTGGGCCTAAACCTCTATAGGGTCTTACCTTAAGGCCTAACATTCTATTCTGGCCCAAACACTTGGCAGCCCATGATCCAATGTCTGATAATCATTAATGCCCAATTATGGTCCATATATGGCCTAATTTTCCCAATTGGACCTAAACCTATTCAATGGGCCTTATTCTAAAGCCCAATTCAATATTCTAGTCTATATACTTGTTCTTGGATGGCACATCAATAACCCAATCACCAAAGCCCAACAAAAGGTCGAAACCAAATTAGGGGTTTTACATAAAATGACAATTATGTTTAATTAGAAACGTTTAACCCATTAAGGACTTGATACATTAAGTCCACCAATCTACTAGGTCAATCATGCAGCGTAATTGGGCATAATCTATACATCAATCCACTAGCCCAAACGTGGGTCCTGACAGTCCAAAACTAACATCTCCCAAAATTAGGGTTTTCTAAACCCTAATTAGGGTTTCCTACCCAAACACAAGCCAACCAAGTCCCAAATTAAGTTTTTAGGTCCATTAGGGTTCTACTAGGCCGAGTACCACCCACTGCCACCTCGGGCAGCAGTGGTCGACGACGGCAGCCACCACCTCACTGTGGTGGTGCCAGTTTCCCTCGATCCATCCACCAAAATGCTTAAACTATTCCCATTTTCTACTAAAAACATTTACACACAACATCATACACGCAAAACCACCACTATACGATGTTGGTGGTGATGAAATGGTGGCAGCCACCACTATGAGGTGGTGGCAGTGGGTTTCTGGCCAAATAAGGCACGTATAATCCTTAAAAAAGCTGCAGCCGACATGTACACTCAATAATACAACATAAAACCACCGCCTAGGAGTCAGGTATCGCTAGAAAATCGCAACAACGACCCCCACGGTCACGGACGATGGCAATGATGATTCCAACGTTACACCCACAAAAGAGAGAGGGGGAGAGATAGAGAGATAGATAGATAGATAGAGAGAGAGAGAGAGAGAGAGAAAGAGAGAGAGAGAGAGAGAGAAAGAGAAAGAGAGAAAGAGAGTGAGAGAGAGAGAGAGGGGAAGGATGGGTTACAGGTGGACTTACAGATGGCTTCTTGTCGCTCTCAACCCACGTACGACAAACCAACTTCAAACTTCAATCTTGGTGGCTCTTCCGGCTGCCCATGACATCTCCGACCGATAACATTGTTGTAGTGGCGTTCCAATGGTGAGGTAGCCACTTGGTAGCCTTGTCTGATCGGAAAAACAAATGAGAAGGAGGGTGGCAGCTAAAATGGAACGCTAGGGTTAGGGTTTGCTCAATGAAATAGTTTCCACCAGGAATAGAGGCACATGTTAAAGTCCAGTGACTCCATTCAAACTATTAAGGATTTTGGCAACTCTAGTCCCTCCCCTTCACAATCTTCTCAATTCAAATCCAAAAATTACCATTTAGTAAATGCCTTGTAAAATCCTTTTCAAATCAAGTCAATACTTACCAAACACCCACTTCCTCTAAAAATCTTTACAAAATACATCCTGAAATTACACTTGAACCCCCAGATAATCCAAATTATAACATTTGGCTCCCTGAAGCCACACCCCACTAAAAATTATGGATTTTAGGACTACTATTCATTCACCCATTTTAATCTATTTATTTATTAAATAAACCAGTTGTTATAAATTCCATGATGTAGTTCAGAGCAGATTTTGAGTGTAAATTTTTTCCTAGCAAAAAGAACATACACCTTTGAACTTTTTGATCAGTCTTCCTTTGGTATACCACGCTCCAATTTTCCTTTTGGATTTTGCCTAGCGTCATATTGTTAAGATCCTTCGATTCCTCCTCAGGTTTTAGAATTGGGTTCTTTTTCAGAACATATGCTATTTCCATATCCATCTTTGTGATCTCATGAATGTAACAAACAAGCATATTCTTTAGATGAGCTATGATTGGATCGTACTTCTGTTCGTCTTTGGAAAAATCAGGAACAAGGAAATATAATCTTACAAATTCATGTAAGGTAACTCAGCAAGTGTAAATTCATCTTTCACACGACTTCTTCCTATAAATCCTTTAAACTTGATATTTATGATGTTTTCAGTCGGAATTAGAGCATAAACCTTCACATCAACAATCTTTTATAAACTCCATGTTTTGAATTGAGGCTTTCCATACTCAAGATAGAAAGAGAAAAACATATGATTAGCATCATTGTTAGGGAGTGGATCTTTCTCAATATTCTTAAAGCACTTGAACGGAAAATCCATAGGAGTGATCAGAAAGTCGAGTTGAGATTCAGCAGTATTATATAGATCGAAGGATACCAAATGCTTTAACCAATGAGTGCTCAGTTCATTGACTGCCTCCTTCTGAATTCTTTTCAATGTCCACGAAGGAAAGAGGGACTTCTGAGTTCTGATTTGCAAGAGTAGCTTTTTCAATCTCAGCTTCAGCCTCCTTAGCTTCTAAGTCTTGTCGAAGATTCAAAAGATTATCAAGTTCTTTATCGAGTTTCTTTCTCACAAGCTTTTCACCTTCTTCTTCTTCTTCTTCTTCTTCTTCTTCTTCTTCTTCTTCTTCTTCTTCTTCTTCTTCTTCTTATTCTTATTCTTCTTCTTCTTCATCAATTACTTTCTCTTTTCTTTTAGATCCAAAATCTTCATTATCCTTTTGATCCTTAGTGTTTGGTTTTGGTTTCGGTTTTTGCTTATTTCGTTAGTTGGTATGGAAGGCTTTTGCTTGGACTTGTTTTTTTTATCTCTCCCCTTATTTCAAAAGAGCATCACTCTCTGAAACACTTTTAATTTTATTGAGCATCAAAAAGATAGATTTGATTTTGTCTATAAGATGTTGTCGTACCAAGACAGTAAGCACTGAACCACATGTCTCTACCAGTCTTCGCAGATATTGATTGGCCTCCGAAACATACCTCTTGATAACAGTCTTCTCCGATTCCAAATTGTCTAAACGCTTGTTGGTGTAGTTCAACTTTCCTGAAAGGACATTAGCTTTTTTAGTCTTCTGAGCCAGTTTATCCATGAGGTTGTTCTCATTAACAAGGTCTTTCTGAAGTTTTTCAATCTTAGACACCAATGATGCATTGAACTCGGAATTATCAACATGGATTTCAGATCGAACTTGTGAAAGCGCCTCTTTTTTCGATTTGTAGGGTGGAGCCAAGTCATGCAATCACATTATTAACATTCTCAGTGTTCTCATCAGAAGAGCATCAAAACTCAGTCATGAACTTGGTCACTTCATCATGTAGTTTTTTTTGACTTTTTTGGTCACTTATGAGATAGTTTTCTCTGATGCTTGGATAATATTTGTAGATTCACCAAGGGCTTTTGTATTCTCCTTCATAAGCATCTCAATTGTGGCTCGGTGGAACTTCAACATAAACTTATAATTGGATGAGGATTTGGAGGACTCCAAAATCAAATCCAACTTTTCATTTAACTATTTGAATTGTCCTTTAGTCGTCGGTGTTTCATCATCATCACTATTTTGATTGGTGGTGAAAGGGCTGAAATTAAAATTTGGAAATTTCGTTGATCATTCCCAAACATAATATCTGGACTGTCATCACAGAATGGTGAAGTGGTAGACATGCCTTGATCTAGAATGACGCCCATATTGACATTAGCTCTCGTATCAGATACGTTAACGTGAATGTTAGAAGTGTGTACCTCCTCTGAAACGGATTTGGTTACATTGACTTCAGGTGCACTGGTAATTGTTGTTGCTGTTGTAGTGGATTCTGTAAAGAGTGGAGTGGAGAATGGAACAAAGATCTGAGGGAGTGAAACTCCAACAAAAAATTATACGGGTAGAGGAGCGATGGTGATCAGAATCGTGGTAGTTGTTAGAGAGGATGGTGGAGTATGCATCTGAAAGAAATTAGAAAATGGAGTAGAAGAAGTGGGTGGAGTGGATACCTTTGGAATATGTGTAGTTGTAGGTGGTTCTGAAGTGGCAGTTGTGTCTTCTAATTCATTATGAACTGGATCCTCTTGAACATCAGTGTGAGTTCTAGATTCCGAAGCCTCCTAAGCTACTGGAGAAAGTGACCTCGGTTTTCGAGTTGTCTTCTTGACTGTCTTCAGAGTTTTAACAACTTTAGAAGGGGTAGCTTTCAATTTTCACTTTCCTCCCCTCTTTGGTTTGTTAGCTTCTTCGAGTATCTTTCAGGATTCTTCTATTATGGGGCGAACACCCGATGAGGACTGTTTGCGATATTCAGTCACAATCACATTATCTTGTGGAACTCTTTCCAACATCACTCCAGGAATAAAACCAACAAGAGATGAATTTGGTTGGATTGGACATCATAAATGAATAAGTTTTCAGAATCGGAATAACAGTAATCACCGAATCTTCCAACAATGGAACCTGGTAGTCATTAAGAACACGCATAACAATAACAAACCAAAAACGAGTACATGAGATCTCAATGTTGCGTGTAAATGAAACTTTTGTCTGAATTAGTTGAATCCATAAAATAGAACCAAAGTTGAGATTTACTCCATGGTAAAGGGCATAAATAATAGTGTAGAACAGCCAACTTGCACTGTCAGAACCTACATCTCTTTCAGAGAAACCCTTAAACAGAAGAGTAAACAAATGATTCCACATGTGAGGTAGAAAAGTCTTCCTGAACTTTGACAATAAGGACAAATGCCCATTGTAACCCATTGTAACCTATCTGGAAAAGTATCTCGATGAGTGCAGATGTGGAAATTGATTCTGGGTCTACGATTTCTTCAGTTGTAGCAAGACCTAAAATTCTACAAAAACGAGATTTATAAATCGAGGTCTTGTGAGAAGCTACCTAAAAGTGAATAACCTGATCCTGTTGATTGTTGGTAGCAGACAAATATGCCTTAGAAAGATGAACCAAAGGAACATTGTCCGCCATGGTTAAGGCTTGAGCCAGTGGCGAGAACCTTAGGCACTCAATCACGGGTCTTAAGGTTTCATTGTAGTGAGATAATTCAAGATCGAGAATGAGATTCTGACTAGGCTTGACGTTCAACATGATGAAAGATATGGATTGATCGGCGAATGAAGTGGTTTCAGGTGATCCAGCCATTGAAACAACAAGGAAGATGATGAATAATAGAGAGAAAAGGGTTTTTGCCTTGGAGAGTTTTGATTATCGAGTGAGCGATGAGAGAAAATAAACCATCGAAAACCATTATATATATCATGAGTGGTGAGAGAAAATCGGCGCTTGACGTTCCTATATCCTATAAAAGTACACTCGGAAAGCATATCAGCTCGTCATGCGTTAGATGACGTGTAACTGACATGCATCATGTCAAGAATTTCAAAACAACACACTTAATTTTAAATCCTTATCTCCAATAAAGCACCTTTTCAGTGTCAATTTCGTAATAATCAGTCAACCAACCATAACTTGTTTTCTGAATAACAATAACCAACTGGAATTAGAACAAAACGTTGAAAAATCATAAAGATTTTTGTGCAAGAATGTGTTAAAGAAAAAGAAATAAGGCAAATTTAATTTTTTGGATTCATTGATGTCAAATAATATTGACATGGAAATTAGATGGATCCCGGGCAACGATCTCTTCCTTCGGAGTGAAGAGAGACTCGGAAGTGCTTGTGTGGTTTCCCGTAAATTACAATCATCTACTTATTAAGAAATAGTCAAAGGCTTCTTTTAAGTAGGCTATAAGGATGGCTTAAGCTTCAACAAAATTTTGAAATTCAACATAATTCTGAAGATCTGAAGACGTACTTGTTTGATCAATGTAGCTATAATAACAAGTAAGGTGTGGATATAATTTTAGTGACAAAATATGATAAAAATCTTAGGAAAAATAAAAACTGGATCTTGTTGGCAAGAAATGTCTTAGGTCTAGAACATTTCATTAAGATCACTAAAAAAGAAAAATGAGATTTCATACTTGTAGTGTCACAAACCAAAATGGTTGTATACATCAATTCATTGGTGAGAAATACTACAACACATGTGCTAGCTAAAAGGGATGAAGTAGAAGACGAGATAATAGGGTAGAGATCACCGAAACTCTCACATCACCGAAGGAAGTCACCTGTTTTAAAAGCCTTTACAGTGAGACCAAATGGGTCAAATGTAACAAAAATAGAATAATCAACAGTAAATTTGTGCATAGAGACGAGAGTTTTGACCATTTTATTTGAGAGTAGAACATCATTTAAAGTAAGACGGTTATGTGAGTGCGGATTTTTTTTTTGACCAATGTGAGTGACACGAAGTATAACACCATTACCAACCATAATAGATTTAGAGTTACAAGGTAGTAGGGAAAGCATGTTACCGGAATTAAAGGAAATATAAGAGCTCGCCCCGAAATCCATGTAAAAGTTGTTGTCAGTAAGTGGTTGAAATGACATAGCTTGAAACACCGATGCTAATTTTGTGAATTTTGGTGGTGTAGCTTGTACATGGTCCCCAAAGGAAGAAGACGAGGGTGATTGCTGTTGGAAATAACCCAAATGTGAAGCGGTAGAGAAGCGTGACGGTTTAACTCAGGTTGCTGGCCAGCAGTAGGCTACAAGGATTGTTGGCTGAGGTGCTATAGTGGTGATGGGCCGAAGCTGGAAGGCTGCTGATGTATAGCAGTCGCTAAAGCAGGTGGCAACGACAGGAAACACTATTGTTGGGGCATAGGTGGTGGAACAGCAGCATAAGAGAGTTGCGCATGTGGCGAAAAATAGCAACAACGAGTCCGAAAAATCCCTGATAAGGCGCTGATGCAGGTGCATTACTCAACACGCCAACAATGGTGTGTGGAGGATCTGGTTGCCAATTTGGATTGGAAGTTTTACTTGCATATTTTTTAGCATTTCGATTCTTGGACCACCTGTTTTTGTTTCTTCCATTTTTGAGGAAAAATACAAGGTAGACTTTGGGACATCATAAAATGAATAGCCGATTATTAGGCAACCTAACGTGATTCATGCAGGATAAGCATATTTTTGGCTTCCAAAAAAGATGGGAATGGCTTGGAATTGGTAATTACATCGATAATTATGTGATATGATGGAGGTAATTTTCTTAGTATTTACATTACCAATTCTATTTCAGTAATATGAGAGTCCACATCTTTAAGGTCATCAACATTATTTTTAAGAGTATAACAATACTCAGTGATAGAGTGAGAACTTTTCTTTGTTCTTCTAAACTAATCTTGGAGCTGCAGCATCCGAGACATTTTGTTGTTACAGAAAAACCCTTCAGTCTTATCCTAAAGTTCTTTGGCAGTGCAGTCATCGCTTTAAATAATTTGAAGTAGGCTGGGATCACATGTGCTGTAGAACCAAGACTTGATTTGGGAATCAACAGATAACCATTCTTCATCATCGTTTCCTGAAGGCTTAGATTTTTTTGAGATATACCCATAACACATAGTACCACGAAACATATTGGAGAAGATTTGTCTCCACAACTTGTATCTTGAACCATCCACATTTAATTTAAAGCTGAAGTGGTAGTACACGTTAGTAAGAGAATAAACCATGGTTAATGTAGATGGAACCGTTGTAGAGGAAGAAGCTGGAATAGTGGACATATATATATATATATATATATATATATATATATATATATATATATATATATATATATATATATATATATATATATATATATATGTCTATATATATATAATGATAAGGGACTGTACACAAAGTATCAAAATACATAATAAACTAACACAAACAAATAGATATTGTAGTTTCCTTTCTCTAATTAATGTTTAATTTGTATTACAATTTTAATGCAACCAACAACTCAACATTCCTAAGAAAGTACATTTTTTAATGAGATGGATGTTCCGTTTTGTAATGAACATAAAATATGGATTCTCATGTAGAGCGAGTACTTTTCAAATAGCTTTTCATTTTGTTTTATTCCAATTAGTTTTGTTTTGTCGATCAATAGTTTTGATTTTATTTGCAAGATAGCTTGGTAACCATTGGAATGACAACACTTTCTTTGAGAAAAAGATGTTAGTTTGGATCGTTGTTATGTGGGCTAGAGAGTTTCTGTATAAATATACGAGATACGACCTTCTAAAATGCATATATGGTTAGTTATTTATCTTTCCAACATCATAGTTTTAGTTTAATGATTGTTGACATTTTTCTTTCTTTGCATCGACCAACTTGGCAATCCTTTTCTTATCATTTGACATAGCTTTAACATGCCATTATGATGTAATTTCATGTGGTATAAGAGTACCATGATCTTGAAATTGTTTAAGTTCAAGTCTCTTGTAGTAGAAAAAATTCATTATTTATTGTGTTTGTTTTTTTAGTGATGACATGATAGATGATAGAGCTGCTATACTTGATGTTGGGGACAATATCTTTATAATGGAATCATGTACGTTACTTCTTTAACTCTTGTGCAAGTGTTATGTATTGAAAATTTCCAAACCAAGGGTTTTTTTTATCACTTGTTATTTCTTTGATATTGTTATTATCTATGTATATTATCATTGGGTTACAATAATTCTTATTCATATGTACAATACTTGTGCTTCTTGTTGAATGCAACAAAGATAGGTCTCTAAGAATGGTTATGGTAATGTTACCTAGTTTTTAGATTTAAAAAAAAATATATTTAAAAAAAAATTAATAAAAGGACCTGCTTGCATAATAAAAACATGGCTATATAGTCAAACAAGAATGTACTTAAAGTTGCAAATTAGAACCCAGTTGCATACATCAAAATCGAGATATACAATGGTACAAAAGAGATTGGGCTGAAAAGAAAAAACTCGGTTTTATGAGCTAAAACTGCGCTCTAATCTCCTTAAATGTACTGCTTTTTTTTTTTTAGAAAATGGTGCTCTTGTAAGCCTAAAAGCACCCGGTTTTAGAACCAGATTGTATTTTGTTTTTCACATAAGACTCGTTGGTCACAGGACCCGTTTGAAAACCTGAGTTTTTAATTGATTTATCGGATCCTATATGTCTTTTTGTAAGTATTTCATTACCATTATAAAATCATTTTTATTATAGTATTATGTGTTGGAAATACTGTCCAATTTTTAATATTGTTAAAAAATATGCCCAAATGGAGAAAATTTAATCTCATTTGTGTCTTATTATATGTTTTTGTAATTGCTATAGCTAGCTTGGGACTAATGACGATGGATTTGATAAGCATACTATAAAAAATGTGTGATTGTTTTTAATTCAAACATAATTACACCCCTTTATTCTATAAGCATTGTTCAACAAATGGGGTACATGACCACCCAAAAATTTCATGGAAAAGAAGTGGAACAATAATGAACTAAAACTCAAGTCTTCAAAACAAAGCCCACTCGCCCATGCAAAGCATGGGAAACTACCCTAGTTCCTAGTTAAAATATGTATTTGAAATATATATCTACTTTGGAATATGAACCAAAGACATAAATTTGGATGTATCGTTCTTGGTTTACCATTAAAAAAAGAAACAAAAAAAAAGAAAAAAAAAAAAAAAATCCTTATATAAAAATCGTGAGTCAAGTCAGATCGGTAATTAATGGACCTGCTAATTATGCCAAATGGATGCGTTTGACCCCTATTGAGGTGGCTCATGGCTGCCATATCTAATTGAAAATTATTAGGTTTACAAAATATAATTACTATATAAAATTATAAACGTAACAAACCCCACTTTGAAACTTGTAAGTTGACCCCTTTTGTAATAAAATAAAAGACCTCTCTCTTATCTTTTAAATAATACATTACTTTAAGGCGCGCGGTTTTGTGAAACTTGCTATATGAAAACCAAGATTTAACTTAAGAGGATAGCCATCGAACCCACATATTTATGGAGATACTTTTTTGTGCTTTATTTTATGGTGTTTATCATTTCCTACTTGTTAGGATCGTAAGTCTCATATTTGTGGTTGTAAGTTTTCATTAATTATTATTTAAAACTTGACCCGGCTTGTCATTGAGCCTAGTTTTCTAAAATTTGGTCAAAAATGATCTAATAATACAATATGAAATGCTTTCCAAATATGTTTAGTAAAATAATGAAAAGATAGTCCCGTATATGACCTTGTTACCTACAACTTAGGAAATCATATCTCCTATATATAAATTGTCTCCCTTGACATCTCTCATTACTTCTTTAGAGGACAACCAAAAAATAAAGCCCACAATCAAATAACAAGAGCTTCAATAAAATGTATACAGAAAAGTCGATCCAACAAGCAATATGTTGCTTGTTTCTTATAGCATACATTGCAAGAAGCCATGCTGCTGTTGTCAACATTAAATCCAAAGGCGCTAAGGGCGATGGCATAACCGATGATGGCCAGGTAATAATGATATCCATCAATTAACTTTGTACGTTTCTTATTTGTATATATAGATATAGATCTGCAAATTGTCTTACTTCAAACTTGTGTCGGATAATACCACCGAAAGTTTAGTCCCTGATCATATTCAGTAATAAAGAACAATAAGAAAACGGGGTCAACACCGTTAATCGTTATAATGAGTCAACTCCGGGTAATTTAATCTTTAGAGAGAAACACTTAAATTGGTTATAAGGGATCTGAATATATATTTTTGGAATTTTTACGCCATGAGGTCCTGAAAAAGATCAGTCAAGGATTATCTTTAACGGTCAACGCTGCCGGCAAACTACCACCCGGCCAGCAGCTTTCCAAAAAAGTCGTCCACGATATAGACGACGTTATCATCTACATCATCAAGTTGACTACACTTTAGAAAGTTGAAGATAGTTCCTGTAGCTCTAAAACGTTGCATAATGATACTAATGGTTTTGAAAACTCCATATTGGTCCGTGAAATATTCGAGGTTGCTCATTGTGCTTCTGATTAGTTTCATATTGGTCCATGTACCTTTGAAAGTGTGTAGTTTGGTATCTTTAGATTTAAAGGTTGCATTTTGATCCCAAAACTTCTGAAACCCAGGTATTTTAAATAATTTATGGGTTGGTCTATGTACTTTTGGAAAGTTACAACTAGACCTATCATTTTTCATGAAATGTTTTTTGACCCCTTAAAGGTATCCTACACGTATCCTACCGACTTCAACCCTTCTGGATCCTAGCATATGCTCAATTTTTTTTTTCTAATTCTTCCCCGATTTTTTGTTAACATATGTTTTTCATGGAATCTACTTGTTCATATACGACTGACCACTTATGCCCACAAATTATAATATGTGGAAAACAATGATTGAAGACTTATTGAATCAAAAGATTTAACAGAGATTTTAGAGAAAAAAGTCGTAAAACCTACACAAACATACAAAATGTCCGGAATAGAAATGAACAAGAAAATTGTGGCACAAATCCAAATAAGCAGGAAGGCCTTTCTCACCCTTTCTAATATACTAGGCGAAACAAGTGTAGGTGAAAGACTGAAAGCCTAGTAAATTCTATTTTTTGATCAATCAACATAGTTCACCACTCAACACGTAAGAATCTCTTAGAATGGTAGATATATTTATGGATCTATAAAGCAATTTCATTCTAGTCGGTCTTAATCAAATATTCAATATAAAGTCTGTACTTTGTTTGACCCATCAATCTTTCGTTCTGGATTGAATCAGACACTGAACTCTAAATTAAAGAAACTAGAGTATGCTAAAAAAAGCTCAATCTTTCAATCTGGAGTGACCTTTCATAAGTTGTTTTTTTGGATGACTCAACAACTTACCCTTACAGAATGATAAGAACAAATTAAAGTGAATAGGTTTGGTAGCTCTACATAGATTTTTCTCTTTATCCATTTGTATATGTTCAAAAAGGGGTGTGTATCTCGAAATAAGTGGGGTTATCAGTCAAGAAGAGGCATGTATAATGAAAGTATCTTGGCCAAACAAAAAGTGGTTGAACCACAAACTTCAAATTAATACATTGATTTAAGAAGCAATAGTGAAAAATTTGATTACATAGATCTACAAAAGTACCTTACCCTTAGGCTTACAAAAAAAGAAGTCCATATAACAGTAGTAACTACAACTTTGTCCTTTTGGGATTACTAGCTTAATTTGCACAAAGAGTACCTATGATAGGTTAAAATCAGATACTGAACTCTATTTAGAGCCAATGTTCTCCATTTTTAATGAAAAAAAACCTCAATGCCCCTTTGATCCTTATTACTGTGTTTATATGTTACGTACTTCAATGGCCATCAAGTCTTTTGAAGACAATGAAAGAAATTTTCATTGAGGTGCGTCGCTCCATGCCACAAAAATCTTTTTGTTGGCTTGGAAAAGCATTTTGGAACCTATTAATTTAGGGCTTTGGAATTGGTAGGTTGCACGCCTCCAATCTATTGTTGCTAGACAAATGGTCGGAGATACAAAATGGAAAACAAATCTATTTTGTTTAATGTTTTTATAGCTATTCATGGTAGTGGCGATATATTATCCTTATTAGGTGCTCCTATACATTATGTGAAATAGAACTTTATCTTAAACCAAGTTGATAAAAAAGTTTCATAATATTTATGAAGCTATTGGCGTTCTTGATTACATAAACAAATTATTTGACGTATTATATAGATAAAAAGAAATGTTTTGATTGGGGAAAAATTTATTTTATATAGATAAAAGGAGTTCATCCGTACACAATATTTTGTCTCTATACACAGCAATTTACTTTATATAGATAAAAGAAATGTTTTAAAGCACCAATTGTTGTGTATGGAGAAAAATTATTGTGTACGGATGAACTCCTTTTAGATTGTGGTTTGTAAAGCTGTCGGGGGTGGTTTCATACTTGTCATAACCACCTAAGCTCCACATATGGTATATTTTTATTTAACATTGTAAGGAAAAGAGAAAAGATTGGTTTTATTGCAATGTAGAAGACATGAAAAAGAACGTAAAAGTAGGAAGGATTTGTTTGCACAGCATGTTAAGGTGGAGGGGAAGTGTAACCACAACATGTTGAGCTCCAACTATGTTTTGTGGAAGGCTTTTTTCCATCCACTCCCTAATGATGTCATAAGCCACAAGGGTTAGCACAAAAAAGTTCCAAAGATAGTAATATATATATATATATATATATATATATATATATATATATATATATATATATATATATATATATATATATATATATAAAGGGAGGGTTCATGCGAAAATGCAAATAATTTGCGAAAACGCGAAAACAAGAAAACCATATGATATTATGTCACCTCAACATTATATTTTGGAAAATAATTCATCCAAACTTTGAAATACATGATGATAATCGATGATAGATGATAGACTATTTCATATTAGCAAAGAATGATTTTTAACATTTTTATTATGAAAACATGAATTTAAAAATGATTAAGGACGTGAAAAAAATATAATTATAAAAACCGTCTTTAAATCTATATTATCATAACACCATCTAATGTAAACTTACTATCTTTAATTTATTGCTAATAAAATTATTTTTTTATAGTACATGTATCTAATTTTCATAAGATAAAAGCTGTTTTCGCGTTTTCGCAGGATATTTATATTTTCGCATGAACTTACTTCTATATATATATATATATACATATATATATATATATATATATATATATATATATATATATATATATATATATATATATATATATGGCTTAGGGAATATGTGGCTGTTATGTACCTAATATTAGGTATAAAACCATCAAAAAACAAAATAGTTTTAACTAAATGCAATCAAATCTCTGTAGCATCTTTCTTGTATACTTTATTAGACTAGATGATACGATTTGTACATATTTTTATGGAGTTTCAAATATTTAATTTTGCACTACAAACCATGTATAAGAATACATTATCAACTACCTATAAGCTTTCATATTCAAATTTAATATAGAAAACTATAGTGAAAGATTGAAATTATTCATTAAAAACCCAATAAACTTCTTTCCATAACACATCCAAAAGAACCATGCAAATATACATATGATAGGTGTCAATCAAAGTTATGAAGTTGACTAGAGGTCTAATATAAACAAGACATTCGAAATACATAGATGTTGTGTAACGACCCAATTTTCACATCAAAATTTTTTTTTGTTTAAAAACGTTACTTTAGAAAATATTAATAACTAAAACATCATTCGAACATCCATAATATAAACTGAACCATGTCTGAAAACGAAAACATACAACTAATCAGAATATCAGAGTATCAATCCCAGAAAAGCTCGTAAATGCGGAAACCGGAGAGTGTGTGTGTGACATGCTGCTACCGCGCCGGCTCCTTTCCCCTAGCTGAGGAGGTACCTGAAACCGTAAGCACAAAGCTTAGTGAGTTCCCCCATAATACCCCATACCATGCAAGCATATAACAAACAACATTCAATTAGGAGATACGGGCCACGCCCACACTCGTGAAGATACGGACCCCGCCCACACTTCGCTTTCTGGGAGATACGGGCCTCGCCCACACTCGTGAAGATACGGGCCCTGCCCACACTTCACTATCTGGGAGATACGGGCCTAGCCCACACTCCACTCTCGGAGAGATATGGGCCTTGCCCACACTCAACCGCCAACTCATATCATACAAGTATCACACAGACAACAAGTATAGACAACTATATCATACTAGCATATATCATAATCAACTCAACTAAGAGATACGGGCTCGGCCCACACTCTAATACTAATGTCTCGTCTATACGGGCCGACCTTGGTGCCTTAGACCCGTTACTACTGGAAGGAAACTCACCTACTACTGCTGCTGCTGCTCCGGAAACTCCCCGGCTGTAATTCCCACAATATACTTAATCATACACTGCTAATTGTCCTTTGGGTAAAAAGACCATTTTACCCTTGGTCTAGCCCTAAGTCAAATCGGAGTCAACTTTTAGTTGACCTGACTCGCGGAGTGGATCTCCACTCGCCGAGTCCCTGTCCAGACAATTGTCCCGGGTCCCTGATTCTACTCGTCGAGTTAGGCTATGACTCGACGAGTTCATCTTCTAAACTGACATTCAACTCCTTCATCCTACTCGCTGAGTTGTATGAACAACTCGTCGAGTTCATCTTCATCCGATGAACACTAATGCTAAGACTCGCCGAGTTGTATGAACAACTCGTCGAGTCTGTTCTTGATCTATGAAGATTGCCTTGGACTCGCCGAGTCAGGGCATTGACTCACCGAGTCCCAACATGGGTGAGTTCAGCTCCCAACTCACCGAGTCACCCCCTGTGACTCACGGCTCAACTCGATACATCATAAAGGGACCATTTCGGTGACTCGCGACCAGACTCGCCGAGTCACCTATACGACTCGCCGAGTCGCCGCCATGCATCCACCAAATACACCGATTTGCTCGATTTTAGT